TTATTGGATAAAGACAAATGAAAGTCGCAGGGCAAAAAGTAAGCCCACTCTGTAGTTACCTATTGTAGATAACAACTGCACAAGCTGCATTCGATATTTGACTGCAGCCTGCTGCCTGTGTCTGCATTTCTCTCTCTGTGTGTGTGTGTGTGTGTGGGTGTGCGTGTCTGCACTCATGCATATGGTAAGCCGATAATGCACTGACAATGGCGCCATTGAGCAGTCCTTTCAGCCCAAATCGGCTTAAAGTCTTTTGACTTCGATTCGCTTAGTCACGGCTTAAGTAGATACTGTCAATTGATGGGCCATTAAATCGATAGTTTTAAGCCTTGAAATTAGTTTTCCTATAGAGATTCATTTCAAGCAAAATTATTCCACCAACTTCCAGCAGCAGCTTTAATTTTAACTATTTACATACATACATTTTTATTAATAAATATTCTTTTTGTGACAAACTGATTTAAATTTAATATAATATTAAATATCTTATATTCAAGCCGAATATAAGTGAGCTGAGTGTGAAATCAAATTCAAGATAACGTAATTTCAATTTGTTTTTATTATTTTGTTAATCACAGCTTGTTCAGTCTTTAGCCAGCTTTGACGAGAAGCAGAGGAGAAAAATAATAAATCATTTTATGAATTTTTTCAGCTGGATGGAAGACACTTTTATTAAATTTGCAGAGCAATAAATTTTGTTTTAATATTGACCAGCCAATGGAATTAATTGAAAAATTGCAGCAGCAGCCAATAAATCGAAAGCATGGAAAATCTTTTCTGCTGTTTGCTTAAACTTTACTCATTACTCGATTGGCTGTGCACGAACTATGTTCAGTTAGTCAAAAGTCGCACGGCTTGACTGCGCAGCTCCTTGAGAACTTTAAGTCAGCCAACAAACTAAACAACTATCAGTTGCACCTGCATCACTACGAACAGGTGTCAACGGCAAAAGCGACATCAACGACAGCCGCAACGCAACGTAGCGCATCGCACCGCACCGCATCGCCTTGCACTTCTTTTCGCTAATCAAGTACTTTGCGCTCGGTGGCATGCTTGATATCACCTTTGCCAGCACAAAACACGTACATGTGCTGTGGCTTACACTACGCTTGGCTTAGCTTCGCTTGCACGCAGATTACGCATACGCCGCGTTGCGTAATCGAGATAATCGCAAGGCCTGCGAGTCGACCGAGCAGCGAATAACTTCGGTAAAAACTTTAGTTGCCTGTTAAATTTACACCTGACGTTTGATTAATGTGTTGATAACACATTTCTTAATATTTTAATATTATATTTGAGCCATCGAGCACTCAAATCATTTATTTATTATTTATTTTTTTTGCAATATGATGGAGTATTATTTAGAAGCGTAAGAATGTCGTCATTATATCAATTCAAAATGAAGTCGCCAGAGCAACAAATGTTAATATTGTAGTATGATCGTGCCATATTCAGTTATTTGGAGATTACTCTTGAGATCGCTCCCCTAGATATTAATAAAGTCTTTTTATTATTTTATTGATAAGTGCATGAGAAATGAACATTTCTACAGCCGACGTAAGATATATATATATATATTTGTCTTTGTAAATAAAAAATTTTAGAGTCTGCCCATATGGCTCAGCTAAAGGCTGTCTAAAAAATTTGCTAGTA